AAAAATTTTTTTTGGGGCCGGGCAAACTCTCAGCAATGGAAAAAGGGGGGGGGGGGGGGGGGGGCAAGGAGGAGCCCGGGGGGGGGGGGGAAACACCTCCCCCTGTCGCCCTCAGCTGACATCCAGGGAAAAGCTCTTCTGCGCCTCCAGCTCAAGGTGAGTTTTTTCGTGGGGGGGTCAAAGTGGTGTACGTTATCACGTGCGTTTGTTTTTGCATTCATAGTTGTTTTTTTTCTCTTCTGATTGGTTGTCGGTGTCACACATTAAAAAGCCAATGTTTTAATAGAAGCAAATGTTTTAGGTGCCAACTGAGCAAACTGCTGATGGAAACCTTGTGAGCTCCAGAGGTTAGAGGACCTTGAGTTAAGGCGACTTTAACAAATTAGTTAGTGCTCTCCTGTGGACAAACTGTGTCATGGCAAGTCTCTAAATTACCACGGCAGATGGATTTTGTGTACTGGAATATGTTTATTGCTGTCAACACTGTCGTCTACTGTAACCAAGGACAGAACATACGTGGGGTCACAACAAATAACCTCCGTATATTCGCATCGGCAAAAACCGCCGTTCCGAACATATTCTCCATTCATTGTGACAGTTGTGGTATAACTTTTACAGTATCATTTGTTTTACGGGTGAACATTTCCAGAGTCAACACCTCGAGGTTTGTATTAAAAAGGCCTAAGATGAGATCTACGTATTTTTAGCTTTTTTTTTTTTTTTTTTTTTTGACAATTGACTAACAATTAAACCAGTAGACTGGCTTCGTGTGTCGGCCTTCCCTCACCTCCGGCTTCACCAACATCCACTTCCGTTCTCACCAGAGATTCAGGGTTGCAGTGCTGAGCTGGTCCCAGTGTGTGTGTGTGTGTGTGTGTGTCTGTGTGTGTGTGTGTGTGTGTGTGCCTGCCGTCGTGTGCTGTGAAATTCCTCTGCCATAGAAAGTCCTCATTGACCCGCCTTTGGCAAACACGCTATGACAGTGTCCAGGGGAGACCCAACAGAGCGCAGATTCAGCCGCTTGCAACCGGATCGACCCCCCACCCTCTCCTCACACAGAGACCCCCTCTCAGTTCGCCCTCTCGGGGGCCGGGAAGAAAGGGAGCGAGCTCACCGCCTTGGAAGAGCACTTCCCGTGTACCTGTCTCAGCTCCGTCGGATGCAAGCTTTTTGTTACCGCGGGTTTCTGTCCGCGGACAAGAAGGCCAGTGTGTGTGTCCCCTCGGCCCTGTGGGGGGGGGATCTCCAGATCGCGGGTGTTCGGTTTCATGGGGGTCGGTAATGATTATTGCAGCCGCCTGTGGAAGCGGCTCTCAAACTGTGGCCCCGCGGGGACTGAGGCGTGTTTGTGGAAGCATACCAGGGAAGACCTCTCATGAGTTCCAAGGAATGGTTCGACTTTTGCGCAGGCGTTTTTGTTCTCCGTTGCCCCGTTGGTTAGCGTAGCTTAGCATAAGCACTGGAAACAGTAGGGGGGAAAAGCTAGCCTAGCTCTGTCCAGTCAAAGGTCAAAAGCGATTTGTTGCGGCTTTAAGGGGCCGGGTGGAGAAAAGTCCGGCATTTACCTCCCAGTAAAACCACAGCCTGACGCTCTCGCCCTGGCAGTGCGTTAGCCTGACCCGCCAGATGGTTAGATACTCAGAACCATCTGAAAAAGCCGTCACGGGAAAAAGTTTGGAAAAGGGCAGGAACTTTCCAAAATAAAGCTTGGGCAGGTGATTGGCGAGTCCCGTGTTGATCGAACTCATGTGTGTGTGTGAGTGCAGCTGTCCTGTTCTTTGTTTTAATGAAGAAATACCCTCCAGTTCAGGTTTGGTAACCGCCAAGGTGGAGACACCCAGAGCTGCTGACCGTGGCTTTTTCTTTATACAAGCAACGACTTTCTCCATCGAGGCCCAAACCCCCGACTCACGGAACCCCCAAATGAGCTGTGCAGGAAAGAAAAATCGCATTTTGCTAAAGGACATCTGCGGGCAACTTTTTTTATTTTTGTATTTTTTACGAGCTGCATTTCTTCCACTCGTCACATGTGACTGCCATCCCGGACCCCGTCCATAACCAGTGACAGGTGTGGATAGGCGCTGTGGCTGTACTCCAGACCAGCGGTGGGTAATGGAAGTCAGCTGGGCTCATTCTCGCGACATATCGGTGGATATTAGGAGTTCAGTCTCTGCAGGATATTGGAGGAATTTCGTGCAAAACGACAGTGCCACTGTAACTACCGCTTCTATACCATGCGCAAATAAATCAGCGTTAGTTTAAAGAGCAGTCACACTACCCACGAGACACATTTGGTTGTGCGCAGTCCACAGTACGGTGAGGATTCAGTCCCAACGATGAGATTTAAAAAAGCCGATTCTGATCGTTTTAGGTTATTTGTCTTTAATAATCTGCCTCAGTAAGAACACATCTTGTGTCCTGTGTGGCTCGAGCAATGGGAGGCCTTATCTGATGAACACACAGTCTTTTGTTTCACTCCCCATATCTTGGGGTTTTGGGTCCAGCTGGATCCAATAAGTGCGTGCCCCGCGTGTGTTTACCCGCTCCGTGCGTTGCAACGGGACGTTTAGGAAAGAGGCGCTATTTGTTCTCGTTAGGTAAGTCCAAGCTAGAGCCATATAATCGCGTCTGTTTTTTATTTTGTGCCGCCTCGGGATGGAACTTTATAACTTCAAATAAGGGAAATGTTTAGAATTGGTTTCATTGTTGCATGACGGTTACTGATTTCAATTGCCGAACCAAATGAACAAATACATTAGAGCAGAAAACAAGGGGGGCTTAATATAGGGCAATAAAACCATGTTATGGGGGTTTAAGTGGATTCACTGCTTGTCAATGTGTGTATTTTCTTTTTTTTCTTAGATTTGAAACTAAATGTATGTGACAAAACATGCAATTTGAAACTGTCAACTTAGTACTAAAAATACAGTTCAAACTCAGTACAGTGTAGACAAATAGTTTATTGAGTGTTTTATCAAGAAACATTTCATCTGCCTACAATGTACAGTATTCCAAACTATACATCATTGACAAAGTAGAGCCAATAAAGCTGCTCTAACGAATATTCTTATATCTTAAAAAATGACCAAATGCTAATGTGTAACGTCACGTCGTCACTCCGCCTCCTCAGTTCGTTCTGTCCGCCTGCTTGTCTCACTCACCTGTCTGCTCTACTCGCTCCCCTCAGCATTTGAACCCCAGTCACTCGCTCACTCGCTGCCACATCTTTCTCCGCAGTCGTGCCAGACCTTCCAGCACTTTCTTTTGTGGCTGATTCACCTGATTCAGGTTACAGCTGCAGCTTCACACCTCGACGTGGAAGGGACAATGGAGGAGGTGACCCTTTGGAGAAGAGGCCAATGACATTCAAATGCACCAAGGAAGACACACCTCAAGAGTTTTCAAAGGGCCATGCCGGGGGAAAGACTGTTAGAACTTCTCCTGCAGCCGCGTTGATAAGTCACTTCAGACTTGCTCAGAGGATTCTCTGTTTCGCGAAATATTCCACTGTTCGCTTAGTATTTCACTTTGTAATTGTAATCCCTATTACGTTGTTCAGTTATTAAATAACTTTTGATTTTTGAATTTAAACGAATTGACTCATTCGTGTCCTCGTTTCCGGCCGGGACGAGAACAAAGGATTGAGTCCTCCCTCGAGAGCTTCCGAAACCTTAACAGTTTACAGACCTGGATGTTGGGCTACCCCAAGTGGCCCCAATAAATGCAATCAATTAATGTAGATAGAAATACAGACAGAAAGTATCATTTAAACAATCTGCGCCCATGTCAGATTCTGCCTTTACAGCCAAAAGACAAATTGTCCTTTTTTTTGCTTTTTGTGGTGAAATTTCTGAATTTTCTTTCCTCAAATTAAGGTCTCCTGAGAGCTTGGTCTTGGACTGATGTTCGCTAAACCTTTTTTGTTACTTTTCCTTGTAACCATGAGTCTTTTCCACCCATCAATCATCTGAGGCGGTAGGTTATGCTGCAGCCTGCATGCTGCCTGAGCCATGTAACGTATGCACATCACAAGCCACGTGGTAAGCCAAGGTTTCTTTTTCCTAACTGTGCGCAAAGTGGTGAGACTGGTTCTTTGACAATCCCGAAGCAATACAATAGATGTAATTATAGCAGATTCCTCACCCCGCACAGCTGCAGAAAGGCTGCAGCCGCTGCCGAGTTCGGGGCATTGTTGTGGTGACATTTCAGCGGAGGATCAAACCGCCCGATTAATAATCCGCGTTGAAAAGCTGCTCTTTCAGCAAAGTGTCAAACAGTGGCGTTGTCCATTGCTCAAAGAGCCGACTCGGCAACTTTCCATTCATGGTCATCGCTATGCAGTGTCACATACCTTAGTGGCTGAGGCAATGCAGAGCGCACGGAATAAACCATTGTGTATGATCTGAGGAGCGGAAAGGCCGAAGCGTTAGACTCACAATTATTTGAATGGGACTTCTCACTGGCGAGGCCCTTTGCCGTTAATAGTTATTTCAGTTTCTTTCAGTTTCCTATGAGGGCCGAAATCATTGCTTTCTAAAGTTTGACTCTAGATGAAGCAACTGGGAACTCATTGTTCCAAGTTTAATATGTGTCAGCATCGCTTCGTAACATGGCAATGTTTATAATAAAAAACCATTCCTTTTCTTCTTCCCATCACCTGGTGTTTATTTTGTGATCCATCCTGTGGTTTGGACCCTCTGCCGCTGTCTGCTGTGCCACCTGTGGGAGAGTAAAATACACCCGTAACTGTACTACTAATGTAGCTAAAGCTTCACCTGCGTCATCGTCACAGCAGGATAGCCAATAAATCGCTCCCCCATTCGGGACAATAAAAGATCTGTTCCCCTCAGATTGCGCTGACACCCCCCAAAATCTCAGCCAGGCCGCGTGGACAAGGAGTGAGCCAACATCAACTTCCTGCCCCCTTTGGGCGCCTGTTTTTAGAAGATATTAATACTGCAGCTAATCAAGACCACATCATAGTCCTCTTTGGAGCGCCGTCACCTGGGACGCTTTCACAGACTGGCAGAGCGATTCTTTTTCATCGATCCACAAAGCAGCGAAACGTTGCAAGTCACCGTGTGGAAAAAAAAAAAAAAAGAAATAGTGTTGAATCCGCAACAAACAGCCTCAAAGATGTATGACTTGGACCGACCAGACAAAACAAATGAGCATGTGCCTGCAGTTAATACAGAACAGACTTAAATGGTCCCAGCAGAGGGTTTGCTGTTCCGACAGAGGTCCGTCGCCCCCGGGCTCCGATAAACACACAAACACCACCTGGCCTTCCAAATGTGGGCCGACAGCGGGTCCGCAAACACACACACACACACACACACACACACTGCTGCCCATCCAGTGACGACTGTCACGCGGGGCTGTTGGGAAATAAGGCGGTATGGAAGGCTCAATGTACCGTGGGTACATGGAGACACATCCTAATCCGGCATCGTTTTTAAACAGATACCTTTTAAAAGGTTTTTCAGCCGAGCAGCCGAGCCTCCCGTTGATTAACTTTAGATTTTGCCCCCGAGTCACAGTCGAGAGACTGAATTCCCAGAACTTCCCTCTCTCCATAGTTCCCACAGCACAGCACCCGTTTTGACTGAAACTCAACTCCTGCGTACCACAGGATGTGTTTAAAGCGGTTTGGAAAAAGAGAAATGGCTTGTTTTACAGAGGGTTGCAGAGCTCACAGTCCAGAGAGGTAGAGTTCTTATCGGTTTCGGGCTGATGAATGAGTCTGGTTATTTCTGGGCTCTAGCGGATCCGGCGGCGGTGCACAGCTAAAGGAGCAGGAGATACGATACGGTAACCCGCAAAGGCCTGAAAGGGGAAACTGCCCGAACGGGTAATTTACAAACAGATTGAGCTTCTGTGTTCGGAGGGCCGGTGTCTTTTCCGAAGAGCGGCTGAAAGAAGCAGGATTCGTCCCTGGCCGAATACAGATAACCTCAGCGGACGGACAAAGGGGTCACTGATCAGACTTTTACTTGTAACAGAGAAGCACGGAGGCTTATCGGTGAAGTACAGTGCGGCTCCTGTTCGCCCGGCTTAAGCTCGGCCAGGCGTGATCGTGTAGCACTTGGTTTTTTTCGGCTTAAACCTGCAAAATGTGGCTTTTGAGATTCCAGCGGTTCAGCGGTTAAAAAAAGAAGAAGAAACTCGCATTCTTAAAGTGGTGATGATCAAAAAAAAAGATAGGCTACAAAGAAGTGAGCTCAGGAAAACAAACATCTTTTCGGTGCTGCACAGGGGTTTGAATGTACGCCGCCACAACAGCTCATTCGGTCTGATACGGTCGGAGCAGATCTAATCTTCAGGTGCGCCAGCCTCATTTATCTGTCATCCTGCCGCGCCGGCTTTGGAGGCGGCCTCTTCACAAAAAGGAATCCGTGAGAGACTGCAGATGAAACGTGGAGGGATTTGTTTCAGCACAGTCACTACTGGTAATTACCGCTCTGACAGGCTTTGATCACAGGTACAGTTGCTCTCACAACGTCTGTGCTGATGGAACAACGAGATGACGGGCCTGGAAATATGAATTTGCCCCAGTTTTCCTATTTTCTGAATAGAAGCTCTGTCCATATGACTTTTGATTTGAAGAAGTGGAGAAAGGGGATTCGACGATGGGAACTGAGAAGTCGTGAGTAAACCATCCAAAGAGATGCTGTGGGTGGAATGAATCACTGGAGTTTCTTTTTTTTTATTTTTTTGTCAAAAGGCAGCAAATTATTCAATAAAATGACTTGAGGGATCGGTGTGCTGGAAAGCCGTTTTAGCAAAGCAGGAGGTGTGGTGTCAGGAGCGGTAATGCTGGTGGGAAGAAGAAGAAGAAGAAGGTGGAAAAGGTGAAGATGAAACCTCCCCACAAACAAGAAGTTCATTGGGATCCCTTTGATGGTGCATCCAGACCACAGTGCGGCCCCGAAAGCAAACACGCCACCTACACCACCTGCCTGGGCTAAACAAAGACACAGCATTTGTCAGCAGGGCCTCCCACCTATAGAAGGGTGTGTGTGAAGGTCAAATGAGTCACTTTTCTTTTTGTTTTTCTTAAGCTCAAAATGTAAACAAAGTATCGCTCGGTTTATTGCGCCGCGTGGGTTCTTTCGGTTTTCTTGTGTGTCCTGCAGGATTCATTTAGATTTCACCTCCTCCTGAATCCTTCGCATGAGTCCTGCGCTGATGTCGTTCTCCTGGAGGCTCAGGTGCGTCAGTGGGCAACGCAGCGTCCTGCAACGCAGCGCCCCCGCGATGTCGTTTCCTCCCACGTCGCTGACGCCGTTCCGGTCCAGGTCCACCTCCCGCAGACTGGCGTTCTCCCTCAGCGCGTCGGCCAGCAGCCCGACTCCCGGGTCTCCCAGATTGTTCTCGTCTAGGATGATCTGAGTCAGCGAGCAGCTCCCCCTGAGGCTGTCGAAGAGCTCCTTCCACGCCGCCAGGTCGGCGGCGGCGGTCTGCGCCAGCCCCAGGTACCGGAGCCGCGAGTGGTGCCTCATGTACGACGCCAGCGCTTTGACGCCGTCGCCGCTCAAGCCGTTCCCTCCGACGTCCAGTTCTGAAAGGGCGAAAAGTCGCAAAGAGCTCCACCCGGTGGGCAGTTGCGGAAGCTCGTTCGGCTCCAGTGGGAGGAGCGTGGCCTGCTGGTTGGCGGCGGCGGCGGCGGCTCTCGCCGTGTGCTCCTGCAGCTCAGCGACTCCGCTCAGCAGGGTGAGCACTCCGCGGTCACGCAGTTTGTTTCCAAACAAGCTGTAGAAACAGAGTGGGGTGGGGGGTGAAAAGCGGTAACCATGGAGATTGATTTAGATTCCTCCACGAGCTGCTCACTTGGAAGGTTTGTCCTTGCACCATGATGAGTTTTTTGTTTTGCTGTGTGAAAATGTAAATCATAAGCTAGAAAATTCCTTTTCTTTCTCACACTGAGTCAGATAAATAATTTGTACCGGTTAGCTCTGCAGTCTTATGGATGATCTTTAGAGATATTTCCCAGGTATTAATGTAATATTATGGAATATCGGAATGTAAACAAGTGCAAACCTTTTTGGAAGATAATGTGGGTTAATTGTGGAATTCATACGTGTAAATTTATCACTGTTCAGTAAATAATTTCATTACTTACAGCGACGTTTAATCTGCTGCACACAACAAGGGAATGGTTCAATAATAACACAAAAAGTGCAAGCCACATTTCAGGGTTGTGTGTCTGACTTTTTCCTTGGCAGAGACCAATAACCAGTAGCCTTATATTCAAAGGACACATCACGGATTGGTATGAATCTTCTCATCTATTCCTTTAGACCAGACGCTTTTCTTTTCATCTCACCCATGTCAGCGTGCACTGCAAATCTTTACATCTGTCAACATCTCCGTCAGAAAGACAAGTCATTGCACATTCCCTGTATTTCGTCTAAAAAAATAAAATCTGGTGGTAAGCCACTGGAGGCATTTCTTTTTCACATAAAAGAGACGGATCGTGTAATTCAACAGCAAGAGGCGAAGGTTTTATTCTGCAACAACGAGGCTGGCCTTGGATCAGCTGTGTCTCTTTCCCTTTTATCGTTTTATTATGTTCTTTCCTGAAGTTTATTTTGGAACACTTTGCTGGATCTGCTGGTTATTCGGTATTCTGTCGGGATTGCAGATCAGTGGAGCCCGGGACTTACTGCAGGCCCCTGACCTGAGGCTTGGCCCTCAGGACGTCCAGCAGGATGTGAGCACCTTGCGGGCCAATGAGGTTGAGGTTGAGGTTGAGCAGCGTGACCTCGGACAGGCTGGTCATCAGGGCCCCCGCCAGGCTCAGCAGAAGGTCGTCCGTCAGGCCCGTGTTCCGCAGGACCAGCTGCTCCACCTCGTCGGACGCGCTCAGCACCGTCACCATGGCGTCCAGCTGCCAGGAGAAAGGACACTCAGTGAATATGTATCGCCAAAAGGTCATCCGTTCACAAGGGTGAGTTTAACCACTGGGCTGCAGACGGTTCCAGGGATGGTTTTATGTTCTGTAATCCCACGGCCTTTTTTTTCTAAAACACAGGAATCCCAGTTCTCTCCCCCTCAGACAGAAAGAGAATGTTTCGCCACGGCCCCGAGGAAAAGGCGTTGCGCTCTTCGCGTGTGACGGCAGCTCAGCTTCAAGAAGTTGGCCGCGGCAGTGATACGCGAGCGGGACGGGTTGCCACCGGTTTTCCAAGCAATGAGACGGGCTCGGAGTCCAGGGAGACATATGGTCTGGCCGCCGGCCACGTCCACTGCGCCACTTCGCTGGGCCTTGAGGAATTTTTCAGGTGCTGTTGGAAGCTTTCTCATTTTGATGAGTGCGAGCGAGCCGAAGTGCCTGCGTGCCCCTGATAACCTCCGTGACCATTTGTTACAGTCAGCCTCTAAGATTAATGTCCTTAATGGATTTTGTTTTCACACACCGGTGAGATAATGCCCTTTCCGTTAGTGTGAAATCCTAAAAACACACGTACTTATTCACCCCTTGTGAACTACTTTCAATACTAATGAGTGAACAAAAGACATTTGCATTTTTAATTTTCCCTTTTTTGAGTTAATTTCATTTTTTAATTAACTTTCTGCTTTGTCATTGAGGGAAGATACGTCTCCGGGCGGAAAGCTAAATAATAATAATGTGAAAAATAAAAATCACAGCATTATATTAAAAGGAGACAAATTGTTTGTTGGCACTTAAAAAAATCCTAACACAAGCGCGTGAATTCCAGTGATTCAATGCCAACAGCTCTGCTGGCAAAAATCACTGATCCACCGCAGTGGTTCGTGTTGTACGGACACACCTGCGCCTGCAGGTCCTGCTCTTTAACAGGCTCTTCGCTGCGAGCTCTCTGGCCGGCCTCCTCCTCCTCCTGCTGCTGCTGCTCCTGCTGCTCCTCGGGCTCTCCGTCGGGCTCTCCGTCGGGCTCTCCGTCGGGCCGGGGGTCCGTGTCACTTTCTGCACTGCGCTCCACATCAGAGGCCGGGCCTTCGGGGCACGACGACAGCCTCCTCTGGAGCCGCCGCCTCTCCACGACTTGGCACCGAAAAAGGGGCACAAAAACTACTCAGGCGCCATCGAGCGCTCGCCCCGGGGGGGGGGGGCGTGCACAGTGCGATATCGACGCCCACTGTGGGTGTGAGGATGTAACCGTGAAATTCTGTCGATGCGTCACCTTTTTTTTTTTTTCTCCCATATGTTTGCTGCTTAAAGCGTGAAATGCAAATATGTCACAGCGGATCCGAGGAGGGTTGCAGTGCGTCTACTCACTGTTTGCCTTGAACCAGTTGTGTTTGTTTGGGCGGCGCTCCAACGCCGCGCTCATTGCCACGCATTCCTCATAGAAGTCCTTCAGTCTTCCCCCGTCTCTTTTTTCCCCGTTTGATCCGAGCTCCTTCTGTTTCACTCCGTTCTGCTTCGTCAGGGCTTCCTCATCCTGCAATGGTTCTTCAAAAAGGAGAAAAAAAACCTTGTTTGTTCCTGTTTATTTCCCCCCCGACAAAGAACATTCAACGGAAATACCACATGCAGATGGATTGAAGGTATCCTCATGAAGGCTTTTATTCTCCTGTTTTTCAATCTTCTCCCACAGTAATTAAAGCCACTAAAACAAAACCATAAAACAGCCTCACTGCAAACTTTGCTCGTCTTGTTTGCTCCGCCGCCTTTTTTCTGCTGCTTCTGTTCTTCTCTGACAGACGACGCTTGGTCCTCAAAGTCTGCTGTCTCTGTTGACCTCTGCGCGACCCCCGGGGCCTTGCCGTCGCGTCCACCCTCCCTCTTATTTCTGCCCGCTTCGCCTCGCCGTCGCTTCTTCTTGGAGGCGTCTTTGTTCCCAGCTGCAGCGGCGGGGTCTTCGCTGTCTGTGGATCTGCCGTCGCCCTCCTTGAGATGTTTCCTTGTCCTCCTTGACGACTTCTTCTCTGGTTTGGCGGGGACAAACAGAGGGGGCGATGAACCCGACTCCATGGGGCCTGCACATAAAAAAAAAAAAGCAAGGAAAAGAAAAAAGGATTTGTGGGATATTTTGTCTTTTAAGCAGTCGTTTGAAATCGAGGGCTTAATGTCCAATAAATGTTGATGAATCAGCTTTAGGAAGTAATGGAGACACTCATTTCCAGGGTTTGTACCATTGCCAGGGCTCAGGGCTAGAGGGACAATGAGCTTTTCCTTTGTGCCGTTGTGCAGCTGCTCACCAGAGCTGTATTTGTTTCTGAGACTCGTACATCTGAAAAAGATGGAAAAAAAAAAACAATACATCAAATCTGCAGAGCAGACGGTTTACTCCATCAGCTTTTGACGGGTATCAATTTCTAGTGTCTCCCGAAAGGCTGACCTCTGACCTGTAACAGGGGATGCCGCCGGCCAGCCAAGCCAATCGGAAGCAGCTCCTCCTGCCCTGCTGGAAGCCGGGGGCGTAGCGGTACTCGCAGCAGGAGCTGATTCTGGCCGCCATGATGCCGTTAGCGTACAGGGTGGCGCTGAAGGGGAAGCCTCTGTGTCTCTGAGAGACGAACTGGAACTGCTCTGAGAGACGCAAAGGAGGAGAATGTTATGACGCACAAGTCACGAGCCAACACGCCAAAAAAGGTCCCTTTTATGTTTGAAAGATTGGATAACATCAACTTATATAAAATAGGCCATCTTCACCGTATTTACAACCCCGTAAAACGTGTAATAGCTACGTTGTGGAACGTGGTATTGTCGTACACAACGTTTTAGTTGCAACTAGATCACGTGAATATTATCTTCCTCTCAGCTAAAAAAAGAAAATGTCGATCTATTATCTGTGAAAAACACAATATTTTAAGAAAGCATCAGGATTTGTGTGCATTTCGATGGCGTTTCTAGCGAAAAGTAAGCGTTATCTTTTCATAATCTTCTATCAGAGAATGTGACCTTCCGTTTATTAGTTTCTAGTGACGTAGTTGCAAGGCAACTTGGGCCGAAATAAAACGTAGTATTGTCACGATTTTGGGGATAAAACGTAAAGAATACCACGTTCCACAACGTAGCTATTACACGTTTTACTATTTTTACAAAGAAAGTTTTGCCCTTTTTGAGGGATGATATTGCAAATGGCACCAACTAAGTGGACTATTCTTTGAACAAAGGGGGAAGTAACCTGATTAATAGACTGACAGAGGTCTTATTTGGGTCAATCTTACCAGTAAGTTGGTCAAAGGAAAGATGAAGCATTGTTCTGAATAAGCCATCGTTAATTTACGAGGAGTTTAAGTGAAACAATCTCGTATTTCCCTTTTCCGTCTCTCTCACACACACTCCACGTTGCCTGAGAAGTGAGTCCTCACTGTACGACTTTAATGCATAAAACTGGTGCTTTCTGTGTCGGCTTCAGGTGGTTGTTTGACGCATATTTCCGGGTGTCGGATGGTGCTGATTGGCTCTCGTGGCGGGTCGGGTGGATGCGGGTAACTAAAAACCCTGACCCGCTGCTCACTGACGCCCATGAAGGGTTCGGCCTCTCTTTTTTCCGGGGGCCCCCGACGCAGCCCCACCGCCTGGAAACGCTCGAGGGTGGAAGACGCTCATGCTTGATCGTTCTAACAGATCCAATGAGGTTATCTGCCTCTGGATTTTGTTGCAGAGAAGGTCGGCTATTTCAGGGATGGTTTTCCTTTGGTTGCTATTTGCATGGTACAGTGAGGGACTGAGGAAATAACTCCCAGCGGTGGTTCCTGATGGATGGGCCCTCACAGCCCCTTCGTCACGGGTTGCATATTAGTTGCAGGTGTTGCTTTGTTGATTTGAGCCTGAAAGTTCAGGTTGTTGCTGGTTTAAACCGTCTAAACACACACTGAGGTTAACAGCTCAGCAACCACCTACGTTTGCAAGAGATTTATTGCATCCAGATTGTCTGTATTTCACTGACAATTTCAGCCTGCAGGGAGAGGAAGTCTGTATGATTAGTTATGGGCGTAAACATTCAGTCATACGTGTAGTGAACATTTGTATTGCGTGACATGTTTGAATTCTTCTCTCCAGAACAAAAACCTTGAGAAAGCTATAAAGAAGGTCCGATAGTCCGATAGAAGAGAAAGACTTTCAACCAGTCGTCAATGCCCATGGAAGTTATAAGAAAAATAAAACTTCTTATTATGTACATTGTTTTTATGGCTCTTTATCCAGTTTGAAAAACAAGAACATTCAAATTCTGAATGAAATAGACCTTTGGTAACTCATTTACAGGCTGTTTGTTTCCCCTTTAACTCACACAGCAGATCCGTAGCCTCTTTCTTCCTTTTTGCCTTAAACAGTGATTTCAACGTCTTTCATGACGGCAAAGAAGAAATAGTCTTGACTTGTCTGCTGATTTGTTCATGTGATAGTTGCCTGTCAGCATTATGTTCTTCTGCCTCAGGCCACATTATCTGACTGATTAAATGAGCCGAGAGGTGGACGCTTCAACACCTCTAATTACACTCGCCTATTATTCTGGAAATTAGAAGCCTGCGAGGAGAAAACCTGTGCTTCCCCTGGAGTCTCTCCACTCTAAGGTGTGTGTGTGGCTGAGAGCAAAATGAAAGCAGGGATGCCAGGAGGGGGGAAAGGGGACACGTATCGCCCACGGCGACGGAGGGTCACCAGTTAAAGGCTAAATCCTCCTTTTTCGCGGCTCCTACCTCCTGGCGTCACCGAACCTTTGAAGACACAGATATTCTCCCCTCCGTTGACTTGTTGGAGAACTCTCAGCTCATCCCGGGGCGACCGCAGCCCCGACCCCCGGCGACCTTGTCCCAGGTAGGTCATCGTCACGGTCACGTTGGATTTCTTTGCCTCTTTTTGAGACTTCAGGTTACTCTGATAAGAAAAGAGAGGAAGGGTTTGAAAAAAACGTCTTGAATTTCAAAACATATTTACCCGAAGTGAGGTGACCTGTTTTTTGGGGTGAGCCCCGGTTCTCTGAGAGGCAACGGAGGAGAGAGATCCTCTTCGCTGGTCGTAGAGGTGAGAACAGGACTGACTCAGGGACCCTCTCATCGACTTGAGGCTCGATGCCCTGGCTGCGATGGCCGGGAGGTACGCGTCGTCTTTAGTTCTGCCTCGGGGGGCAGTCGCATCCTTCAGCTGTATGTTGGGTACATGCGACCACCAAATCCATCATACGTCACTTTTAACCATAATGTAAACCTGGACTCCGCTCTCTAACAGCCCAGGAAGAAGACGGCTCAAGTTAAAAAGAGAAATGTATTTCCTGTGGTATATTTATGCATCTCTTCTGTTCATAAAGTACAAAAACATTTGTTTTAATGTAATTTGATTTTGAAAAGCCGACCTTGTAGATCTCCACAGTGTCGGGGTCCTCTGGGAGGAGGAGTTTGCTCCTGGCTCTGATCAGGCTGCCGATGGAGTGGATCACTCCAGCATCCCGACCAGGCTGAGCCGGGACCTGAAAGACGAACAGCTGTTAACGAAGGTGCGGCGTTGACAGACACACGTCATGGACCTGCTAAACACCTACGGGAGTCCCTCTGTCTCCTCCCTGGACCCCCCTGGAGAGGAGATCCTGGAGGAGGGTCTGGCTGCTCCTCCTCGTTCTTCTCATTGATTCCTTCTGATACAGAAAAGGAAACAAATCGGTCTGATCATGCAGTCCTCAGAATATCCATTTTTACTTTAGAGTTTAGCTTAATTCAGACTTACCTGAATGAATGAATGCAAGAAGTAAGTGTCCCAAAATTAAACTAGTGGGTAAATGTAATTCCCCGATGTGACCAAACAATAATCGCTTTGCATTACAATTTGTAATAGCGAGGTGATAATGAGCTGCAAGATCTCACGTCTGAGGTGAGAAGAGCTTGTGGATCATAATTCAGTCCGGTGAGGACGACATAAAATAATGAGACTTAATTGCACAGGTGAAGATGTCTTTTGTCTCCGGTCGAATTCCCTTCTGGACCTCGGGTTAAAGTCCACCTCGCGGAAACTGAATTAAGGTGACGTTGATCCACTGTAAACTAACAAGCCTCCATTGTTCCCATTGGCGGCCTGCCGTTGACTCACTGTTTGAGTAACCTAATCACTTTGTGCCGTGTGCGTCCGGGGCAGCAGGCAGCAGCCGTGTCCTGTGATTAGCGGCCTGTGCACGCGTCCACCTCAGCCTCACGTGCTAAATGCAAAGAGAAAAAGAGGCTTGTGCGGTCAAGACGTTTGTTGTGGCGCTCCATTTTAAAACTCACCATATACATTTCCTGCAAACTTAAGTTGCTTTAAAGAAACATTTTTTTTTACCAGTAAGTATTAAGAAACTTGACTAAAAGTATTAAATATCAGAGAGCAGTTTGATATAATAGCTGGAGCAGGTAAAGCTAAAGCTACCTGCTCATTAACCGCTGTAGTTTCATGTCTGTATTTCATATCTTCTGTAGAAAAAACATCCCCATATTGTACTAAAATACCCAGTTAATTACTCAGTCACCTTTTAGTTACTTTGCCTATTTTAAAAAGTGTTAATTTAAAGCTAATTAATGTACTGAAGACTCACTCAAAACGTCTCTCGATGCCTTTTTATACCTTAAAATGCTTTCAATCACTCTCTTGAACAAGCGGCTCCTCGGCAGAGCTCTTACCTGCTGTCCGGTCCAGGTGACGGAGCTCAATGCGTCTTTCCACCAGGTGATCTGATACGTCCACAGCTGTTGATCTCCTGTTCTCTGCTCTCTCTTCACGCCGCCATCCGGGGACACCTGAGCGGACGACGCCTTCGGCACCCCCCCCCCGCCCACCTCCCCGACAAGGCCTCCTCATCCATCTTTAATTGCCCTTCGCTCTGTGCACTCTGGTAGTTTAGTGAAGCTTTTTTCATTTGCCAATTAAAGAATAACATTCTTCATTTGATTGACGAGTCTCTTGCTTTCAGCTCCGGATTTATTGTCCTTTTGTTCTCTTTTTGGTCTGCCGATGCCAGTTTTTCAATAACTGAATATTCATTAGGCTGCGGAAACGTCGATCATCACACACCAGGAGGAGACGGCGCCCGCTGTTCTCCCAGCATGCATCTTTAATAACTCAACCCACTTGATTTTTGGATTCAGCGGAAATTCTAATTATGTAAAGTTAAACTTTTGATTGTGTCTTTGTCCCCCATTGAAGAAATATTGATTGGGACGCCATCTGCGTGGACGTGAGGGATGTCAGAACTGTGGTAGCCTGTTGTTTTTTTTAAAGTAATGATACTATCGTGCCAACGAGATAATATGCTCGGCAAAACGATCCCAAATTCCATTCACTAGTTTCTTTTCAGAGATGAAAAGCTCCTAAACTCCTGGAGCCGCTGAGCCCGCGCGTCCACAGATCCATGAACAGACCTTGCGTTACACATAAAAGCCCTGGAAAGCGTCGGTGAATGGAACCGGGATTGTTTTGTCACGCTACTATTTGACAAAAGACCTAAAAGAATGAACCTTCATGGCGAAAGAAAAAAGGTTACATTGCTGTTGTCGGAAAAAAGAACCTCCATCTCATGGCGGCTGATTGCTTTGAACCGGCTACTAGATAAACGCAGTGGTCCGTTTCAGAAAGGCCTGTCATGTGACTGCCATCGGTGGGCTGTGACCTCCAGTGGATATGAAACAATGAATAAATAAAAGTAAAAAGCTGCAGTCCTGTGAATAGAGACCATCACACGGTGTGATGGTTTGCGCACAACAGCCACTTTCCTGCTTCCTCTGCTCTTCTCCCCTGTGAGCTGAGTGCACGTCTTGGCGCCCTCGGGAGGCCCGGCACCTGTGCGCACGCAAAAGGTCCGCCGGAGGCCAGCGGGGGCCCCGTGCGGCTTGCTGGATCCATTACATCCACAAACTGATAGGGGGGGGTCTCAGTGCATTTGGCTTGGCAGCCCGCTACATCCTTCCTGCCATGTTCACTGAAGCAATGTGTCGCTTTATTACCCCCTCCGCCCTCCGGCCTCCATCACGTGGTGTGTGTGTGAGCGGCGCTTCGCAGGAGTCGTGATTGTCGTCATTGTGCTTCTGCTCGGCACGTTTTTGGAGGGTTTTTTTTTTTTTCGTAAAAGTCACGTTGAGCGATGTGGAAACATAAGTTGCTGCGGTGATTATTTGGAAGTGAGGCCAAATTCGCCGCTGATGGCGGAGTTTATAAGCTGTGTCACAGCCGTACATCACTGTTTTATGGTCGACTTACGTAACATCCTGCTCTCAGGGGACAGTTTAGATTACTAACCATTCATCCTGCCTCTCACCGTGACATCCAAAGCAGGATGTATTTCATTTCCGCCTATTCTTCTTATCGAATGATGTGTGGCTAATGTAAAACAGCAGTGGCCCATGGCGGTGATTGCCAAACTTTTTTGGCATAAAATACGCCCTTCACGGAGCAGCATTTTGCGTTTCCTCAGTGTCTGAGGTGGATGCATGTCTGTGGATACATGATCCAGTGGAGGGGCCCTGCATTCACACCGTCGACCCCTTACAGCCATTTAGTCCGTCACCTGCAGAAGTTAAGGTTGGGAATTTTGAGTCGAGCAAAGCGGGGACCGTGGCGGCAAAGTGGCCGGTTCACTGTCTGGAGCAGTAGGACAAATCTGCAACTTTCAGCCTTTAACCCCCAAGTTGAGTGTGTGTGGCTGCGTCAGTGTGCCCATAACAGGGTAATATGAACCACATGATGCATGTCGCTCATTTAGAAGCCAGGATCTTAATTTGTAGCCAGTTGAAAACTGGTATTCTTCCTCTGGTCACTGAGCTTCAAAACACCCATTGTCCTATTTTAGTTGATTTTCCATGAAATTGAATAATATGGTGTTTTCGTAAAGGCCTGGAAAAGAACGTAAGATAGCGTTAGTATTTACTCCCATTTCTCCAGTATCCTACAACCTCAAAGTTGTTCGCTTGTGATTTATAACTATTGTTTCAGACAATATGAAGCTACACAAGCCTCTCCAGTAATCCATATTTTAAATGGATATTCTAAAAGTCAATAATAACGAATAAGCTTTCAGTGATGGAGCAACTTCAGGCCATTACTTTCTCCCACTAAGTGCTGTTGAGCATTTTAATTATTTTCCGTCTGGTTTTCACAAACTGCATGCACAGTGAACGCGTCGCAGCTCATGTCGGCGTTTCACCACTTGAGGGTGCAAGAAGACCAATGAGAGCCATCCTGTCGTGCTCCTGTCCTGCGCCTCACTTGATGGCACACAGCAGTAGCATGTCAGCTCACCTGGAAGCTCGGCCAGTGGTCTGTCGCCCCCCCCCCCCCCCTGCTGTATAATCACCTCTGTGGTGCTGCATCTCCCTGCTGTCAGACGCTATCGCAGGGGCTGCTAACTGGCAGGTATAGTCGAGTTTTCACAAAATACTGGGCCTTCTCCCACTTGCTGTTGTGGCCGAGCAGCCCGAGGACCTGTTGAATCCCTGTGTCGAATTTTTATGCTTTTGTTTCATTTAATTAACACTCCTAAGAAACCGAACATCACATGCAGGAGTTTTTTGATAACCAGTAATTGGTGGATCCGAGGAGCAGCGTTTATTGCCCACTGATTTCACACATTAGGAATGAGTCCTAGCATGCCAGCGCGCATAAACACATCAATAAATGTCCTCTGGCACCAACTTTGCAGTGCTGCACTTTGTCAGGTTTCATTTTTATCTCATGATAAATTGTTTGCTCACAGGTGACCTTTACCGCGTTGCTTCAGCCTTTACTTCCCGGGAGGACGTTTATATTGTTATATATGATGCGTTTATAGATTCATATTTTATTATTGCATTCATTAAAACCTGTACAATGGACAAGATTATAATGACTTAATCGCATTGCAACTGCTTCAGTTTCAACGAGATTGGAAAACTGACCGGACACATCACATAACCAGCCTATATTAAGCAACACATATGTACCCAGTTGAAAGCTGCCTCATGCAATGTTCAAAACGCAAATAACAACAAACAACTATCTATGAGTGCTAGTGCATGTGAGTATGGCCACTGGCTAGCTCACAACCGCGGCTTTGCATTCGGCTATCTTAGTGGTGAGGGCTGTTGAGAGACAATAATGTATTATCTTTATTTCATAATGATAATGGCGTACTGGCTAGGCCTATGAATTTAAATTCAAGTTTCTTTATCTTGTCCAGATGATCTCAGCTGTAACATAAATCACAAGGTCAGGAAATCGTGTATCTGTGTCACTAATAGTGTAAACTTAAGTTAAACTAAGTACATTTTTACATTAGAACCTCAATCCCTCTGAGTTACACTTTTATTCAGTTTAAATTATAAAAAAAAATACTTTTTCAAACTTATCTTTCGATTTACGACTTTCAATTACTTTTATTTTGGACGTAGACGAATATCTGCTTATAACCGCGTTTGCATTGCCCATGCATACGGTTTAACGATGGGATACCACCCGTCTGGGATCTGAAGTTAACACAACATCCATGTACCGTGTCAGTGGATGGCCTCGAGTGGCCCGTTCCATCTGGTCCCGGCTGGAGACTGGCAGAGCCATGTGGCAAGCTGGTACCTCTTTGACTGGGAGATGGTGCAAGCTGCATGTGAGGAAGAAGCTAAAAGGGGGAAATAATGCAGATTGAATTATTGCTGCTCCTACTTTACTTTGCTGAGATTTGTGTTCATTCTGCATTACACACCGTTGTAATGTATTTGTCTTTTAGCTGATCAGATCTTCATCATTAGACACTCTAGTGTTTGGGTTAGCACTGCCTTCTAGTAATATTTGCATTTGTGTCTTTAGAATGTTCTCCTCTTTTCAGTTTTATAAAAAAAAAAATTTCAATCTGATATTTTTTCACATTTTTTTTTACATTTTTCAACCCAATATTTTTTTACTTTCACAGTTTTTGACCTAATATTTGTTTTACTTTTTTAAAAATATTTTTTGACCCAATATATTTGTACTTATTTTGTCACATTTTTCAACCTAACTTTAAAAAAAAAAATTCTCAATGTATTTTTCAACCCAATATCTTTGTATTTTTTTAACTAATATTTTTGTAATTTTTTTTTCCATATATTTTTTAACCCAATATATTTTGACTTTTATCTCAAGACATTTTTTGACCTAACGTATTTTGACTTCTTTTTCAAAACAGTTTTTCGACCTAATATTATTTTCACTTTTTTCTGTGACACCTTTCGACTTATTTTCCTTATTATTTTTCGACCTTGTATTTCTTCAAAACAATTACAACCTAGTATTTATGGACTTCTATCTCATGACATTTTTCGACCTAACAATCCAGGGTATTCATGCTATTTTAATAAGGAGGTCATAAAGTTTGGTTAGGCAGGTCAGTGCTAGCAGTGATTTTTGACATAGAAACACTGTATAATGCTGCGGGGATAACGTACTTTTGCAAAGCCCTTTGCACCCTGCTTCCCTCCACCACCTCCACAGAGCTAATGGAGGACGTATTCTTGGTGTTCCCTTTCATTTTTAGATTTGGAAGGAAAGGTGTAGGTATTATGAGGTTGTATGATATAAGGTCCAAACTTAAACTGATATGTTCTAAGATTCTCTGTATTTATCTCCCCTCACACTTCCTTAAATATACCAGTCCCTCCGCTGCCAGTGACACCAAGTCAAGCCGAGCAGCTGCTGACTTTATAGGGTCCTCTTGTTGAGGTCTATTTCACAACCTCTATATCACTTTCCTCTCAAATGGGATTGCGTGTCACCATTTTTCTTTACAACTGCAAAATGACATGGAACATTTCCACAGCCTTAAAGATGAAGGACAGCGTGCCTGGTCACTGCCGCTCCACTACTGTCTTGTTTGTTTCTTCAATGGTACCGGAGACCATTTGTTCATGCTCGTTTTAAAGGAACAAGGAATCTGTGCGGGATGATACATGATGACAAAAAAAGACGTTCGCACTTCAACACCAACCTCACCTGAGTCCCGTTTTTTTGCATTGACACTGCGCAGTTTAAATGTGAGGTTACATGAAGGAAAGTGTTCTGAAATAAAGTCTATATCAAAAGTCAGCACTTGACCCTACTTTTGAAAAGATTACGGTTCGTCTATTGAGTTTTATTTATATGACACCTTTTAAACAAATTCAATCAAAAAGGCTTTAAAACTGATTGACAAAAAAAAATACAGTAAACAAATAAATACAACTGCATGTGTGGTTTTTTTTTAATGAAGGGGGTTTAATGCTTTGGAAATATAATGACTACAATAGAGCCGCACTAACTGGACCCCAATATGTATGATATGGTTTGGTAAAAATCACATTCAATAAACAAGATGACCCTTTGTACATATGCACACTAACTAATCAAGGCGTATATATTAGTGATATGCCGAAATCTTCCCTGTGTGGTTATAAAACAATGTTGTGTAAGATGTACATGTTAAAACGCACATGCTCGATTCAACAGCATGCTTATGGACTAGGTATGCAAATGGGAGAAAAAAATGGATTAGGTTTTTAAGTTGAAGGTATTATGCAAAAAGGGTCACAAAAAGATTAATTCCAAGATTCTTTTCTTTTTTCCATCTTGGAATGTCACAAATCCTGGTCAAAAACCAAACCGACTGCCATATTTAAAACATCCGGACTCATCTCTGCATCTTCAAACCTTACCCAGCAACTCAGATACCCGACCAGCCATCCCGCTCCACCCCGTCCGCCTCAAACACATTCCAGAGTGTGTCTTCACCCGCCGTGAGTGGAAGATGACGTACTGAGGTTGAAGTTCTCTTACACGCCTCATTGTTGTGACTTTTGATTGGCAGGAATGTCTCCTGACAGACAGCTGCCGGACGTCTAGCGTGTCATCAACTGGCGGGTGGGGGGAGGTCGGGTGGATGAATCAGGAAGGTCAGCTGCTCCGAGTCGTCCCACACGCGGCCACACTGCTGCCACGCGGACGACGTCACATGTGACTGGGAATGATGGAGGGTCACCTTCCTGGACCATAAAAACACTGATGGCGAGGACATTTTTTGGCATTGACACCCATTAAAACGCTCAAACCTGCAGGACCTCCAAATTGTCCGCCGTGTATCGGGAAAGTGTCTGAGCTTCACTCAGACATTCCGACATTCTGGGGAATGTTAATTGTTTTCCCTCCCGGTCGTGTCGTCAGGGCAAGAGTCACCTGACTTTTGTTCCAGATTGATGAGTGAAACCAGCACCTGCGGTCAAGAAATAGTTTGAACACGTGCGCTGCATAACTGCTTTAAAATAACATCTCTTCCTCTGTTTCTATGTGCTAAATAGGCGAGAATGATGTGAAAGTTATGGAGCTGTTTGCCTTTTCTAACAGACATGGAGGCATCTCGGTGTCTTTGTAGTGAAACCATGGAATAGACATGCTGTGTGTGCTCTTATTTCAAACTGGGTAAGATGGCAAGGAATTGCTCTTAAAAAGTACACGTGTCAACGCTGCCATGACATGGATACCATACCAAGGACATGAAAGAAACAATGCAGCACCTGTTGCTCCATAAAGAACCACATCCGCTCATTGCCTGCTGACTGCTGCGTTTAGTTTGTCCTTCACGTCTGTTATGAAATGCTTGCTTTCTTTCCATTTACCTCTCGGGCTCCTTTTTTCTATCTGTGCCGGACTGAGCCCGCCTTATGCCTGATTCCTCCTGCTCATTTGTTACCACCCTTCATCTGACTGTCCATCCATCTACCTGAGTCATCTGCATAATGCTTCAGAGTCAATCAAAATGTGCTCGTCAGCCCTTTCGAAGCTATGCACGTTGCATTTGCCTTTCACCCATCTTCGACCTGCATGAGATGATTCACCGTAGCATCTGAGGCCTTTCTGCTGGAAAGAGTTATAAATATAGCCGTCCTGCGGCACAGGTAGTCACGCAAAGAAGTGATGGACTGGGTGAGAGATTTGCAGGAGGAAGCAGGCAGGTTTTTTCAGTAGTCCTGCGGTGAAAATGTGAGATGGGGAAGATGCATAATGTCACCACTGATGAGGAAATAGGACAGTAACGTTTGACCCTCCACCCCACACTGCTGCCTGTTCCTGGTCTAAGCTCACAGCAAACATGATTCATCACTGACGGACGCTCTTCTCAACTCTTCTCCACACACGTGGACAAATCCTCTGGCGTGGCAGCTGTAAAAAAAAAAAGGCAGCCTGGAAGCGGGGAGTCCGAGAGCAGGATTGAGTTTCCGGCTGCTGGGATGGTGCGACGAATCACTTGGGGGAATTTGCGCGGGGGGGCCGGTGGTGGTTGCTGACGGGAGGAGGTTGTACTCCTCGGAGGGGTCAAGTTCAATGTCGTTCTGGGCGGAAGGCTGTGACGGGCAGTAGTGGCGTGATCGAGCACCGGAGGCCTCGAGAGCTGACTGACGGCGAGCTGCTGCTCAGAGGCAGGAGCACAAATCCTGAGCGCAGATTCGAGGTGCTGAGGAGATAAAACATGGGGGTGTACAATGAACAAGGGTAAGACCAATAATCCAGATTACTCTGCTGCAGTGTAATTAGCACTTGGAAGCGACACGTACAGTATAACTGTACAGCCCATATTTATTTTATATTTATATAATTAATGAATTACAAGGCAATTGTGAATGTGTGTAAATAGAGTTAGTATATATGTAGTTACTGCAAACCTGTACTCCAAATGTATCTTAACTTCTGCACTAACTCATTTTAACTACTTTTCCTGGATGATTTTATTGTCATGCATATTAAATTATAATTCTTGGAGGGAGCCCTAAGATATTGATTGCCATCAACTGCTTTTCTATAATTGTTGGGCATTTGAGAATTTCATATATTGGTAAAAAATGGATTTCTCTGATACTGCATAATTTGCAACTATAAGATGTATCATACACAGTAATTGCAATATGTTTACTATATTGCTTTGTGGTGCAGGGCCGCCCTGGAGCAACCGGAGTGCCGCCACACGATGCTCAAAGAGCGCAAAGGAGGGTCCCCCCGCCGCCGCGGCAGACTTCTCCCGAAAGACGTCTCCAACAACAAGATGTTCATGGGTGCGTTTATTCATTTAGTCTGCTGAACTTTTCTGTGTTTCTGTACTGCAGAAAATGAGCAGTGTCTACCGGAGGGGCAATCATTTAAGTTATCAATTTATTGCGCAATATATGAAGATGATGTGATTACATTTTATGTTACTGACTCATCGTTCCACAAGATTCACTTGGCGGAAAGCCCCGTATTGCTAATGGTTAATCTGATCACAATCTCACAATGAGGTCGCATTTCAGTGTCATTGCTCCAGTCTGCTCAAGAGATGCCGGCTAGAGAGGATTTCCTGTTAATACTGAAAGGCGAGCAAACAGCTATCAAAGCGCTTCACTCTTCTCCTCGTCACCGCTGCTGATAATGATAATTATCAGCACCACCACTGACGAGAAGCCTCCAGAATAACGCTACATCCCTTTCACGGAGAGACTGTCAAGAGACTGTCTGTATCAATGCAATAGCGTTATATTGTATCCAGGCGAAAGCCCATTAAAGACTCACTGACAGGTGACAAACTTCAGTGAATGCTGCCATGCAGGGCACAATAGGCAGCGGCCTTTGCAGAGAAAAGAGCTTTTCAATGAGTACGTTCCGACCGCGGCGGCACCTGGTGGTGTCACAACCCCTTCCTCTACTTGTTTTTTCTTCCTGTCATCCATCTGCGCTCTTGCAGTCTCATTAATAACTCATGATTTAGGGCTCACATCTATTTACTAGGCATCACCATGGGAACCAGACAAAACAGCTCAATACTGTTGGATCCGAGCTGTGTTTACTGCTTTTGCGGCATGTTAAGTAGTGCGATAAGATTTCACTCTCATTTCTTTTTGCTAGTCTAGAGCCAAGTTGACATCTAAACCTGCATTTAGATGACATTTAAAGGTTTAGAGCAGTGGTTCTCAAGTGGTCTGGCTCCGGGACCCACCATCACGCCTTAACAACAAGCCGCGACCCAAATCGAGGAACATTCTCAACTTCTCAAATTTATTTAATGAAAATATGGTGCAGTTTGAACCTGAGATAGTATGGAGACAGAATATATGCCAACACGAAAACAAGTTTAATGAATAAACAAAACTCTAGTTAATTCTAATGTTTGTTTTCCCAGGCAAAGGCCGGCGACCGAATAAAAATCACTGGTTTAGAGAACATGACGGTGCCCTAGAAAGATATTTATATTCTCTGTCATACGTTTTGACAGAAGGTTGTGACAAAGCGAAATGAAGCGCCCTGTCTTGTGTCGGCAGTCGGGGGATGGACTCGAGATGACCCGTCCTGTCGGGTGGAACAGTTCTGCCCCGAGTACAACGAGTGGAGAGCGGCAGCGCGCATGGTCAACGGGCGCGGCAAAGTGGCCGTGGCTTCTCTGGATGGCAGGATCTACGCAGCGGGCGGGGCAGACCACGTCAGGTGTTACAGCAGCGTGGAGAGGTGAGAGGCGGGACGCCTTCTCGACGCCGACCGCGCTCCTTGTTATTCTATGAAATGTAAAGTACTTCTAACTGACATTTCATTACCTCACGGTGAAGAAGGTGGTAGCTGGACGGTTGTAGATACAAGCTATAACTCACTCAAGGTTGCGGTCCGAACCAGGGTGCTGCTGTTCTGCACATGGTGCAACATCTGTCCTGATGTTTGTTTAACTTTTACCAGGAAATGGGCCTCGCTGATAAAATATCTCAGTTACATGAGAGCATGTTAGAACATAGAGGGCACAAAACATCAAGTACAGGCTTTCAACGGCCAAAAAGATGTATTTTGCAGAGTTGACTGGAACACAAAATAGTATCCACATTTTAAATGTTTGCATGTGAATATTCCTGGAAATGGATAAAATATATTTTATTTCAAAAACACATCATCACTTTCCTTTGTTTTACAGTAATCTATCTCCTAACGTTAATCTTGACCCTCAACGTCACATGATGAAGTAAATCAGCCTCATTTTTCTGCTCATAAAAACATTAATAGATACATTTAACTAGTCAGCAAATTAAACATTCACGGGAATGTACATTCACAGTAAACGTTATTCATCAATATAACCCTATTCTGTGCACTTTGTTTGGTGAGCGAATAGGAAGATCTTTCCTTTTTTTATTTGTTGTTGTTGTTTACATGAATAACCAGCAGAGGTCGTCATCGAGACAAACATCCGATCACAGCCTTTATGACACTAAACCACCAGCAATCTTCTTAGTGAGCCACAAATCACCCAAAAGCCTAACTTTAAAGATTTGTGCGGCACGAAACAATATTTGTTTTAATAACTCACAGATTGAACTGGCCACTGTCAGCGTTTTTTCAGTGTTTTTTTTTGCTGTGGGAAAAGCTAAAATGTTACCAGGGTATCATTTTCTCACAAAGTCAAAAAATACTTGAGCTCTTTCTCACACAGTCTCACGTCCTCTGCTTTCCTGTTGCTGCGCGTTTTCCCCCGTTTCCCCTCTGACTCGAGTGTCTTGAATGAGCTCTGTCCCGCGTCCCCACTGATAGGCGCGGACTCTCCAACGGAATCACAGCCGGTTGACCCCTTAATGACCCCCAGCAGCGGCTGATCTGCTCTAATGGACCCGGCCCAGCTGTGTGTCTCTCATCTCGGTTACCGGAGTGCATTGAATCTCTGAAGGATGCTCCTGGTGCGAATACCTTCAGGGAACCTCTGACGTGACACTCAAGGCAAAATATTTGATAACTAGAAAACGTTTTGTTGCTTTTCTTCTGAGGGATGCAGTTTTTTTTATGAGGGGAGAAATGGCCACAAAAGAAGAGGGAACCCTGCACGCAAATTCATTCCCCCGGTCCCTGAAAGGCAAACAATAGCCAGTCTCCCCCGTCACGGCAGGTACGACCCCGAGACGGACAGCTGGAGCACAGATGTGGCGCCCCTGAGCAGCCCCCGCAGCGGAGTGAGTCTGGTGGCGATGGACGGGTACCTGTACGCGATCGGGGGGCACGACGGCATTACTGCCATGAACACTGTGGAGAGGTACACGGGCATGCAGCAAAAGAAGTGTGAACCCCTCTGCATAGACAGGGTGGTTTCAAACATGTTGTGTGTCCCCCCCCCCACCCCCCAGGTACGACCCGCAGATGAACACATGGAGCAAGCAGAGGGCGATGCTGAGCAGACGCAGCGGAGCGGCGGCCGCCGTGCTGGGAGGTCACCTGTACGTGATGGGAGGGAACGACGGCGAGGTGGCTCTGGACTCGGGTGAGAGACGCGTCCTTTAAAAAAAACAGAAAAGAAGCCTCACAAAAGCTAAGAAACTATACAAAAAAAATCTGCAAATGATCTCATTTGAGCAGCTGGCAAATCAAAACTTTGGGTATTTTTGGTGTAGTGTAATTTGGTGTAGATGTGACGTTTTACAGCTGGCACAAATCCTACTTTCACACAAAGTGTACAACTTTAAAACGAGGAAAAACAGAGGAAAGAAACTTCAAGGGACTCTGGTCGTTCATCAATGTGGGAATTCCAAATGTTACTCTGAGCTCGGAGACATTTTGAGAACTGACATTCCCACCATTATTGTCTCCATCTATTAAGAAATCCCGGCTACCTTTGACGTCTCTGTGACGTCTGGCAGGACTCCAGTTACACACTAAGACTTTCTTGACCTTTTTGTTCCATTTTTCACACACACACACACACACACACACACTGTGACCTTGCCAAAGATAACCAGCGGTTATGTTGTGCCGCTGACTATTTTAGCCTATGAGAAGAGCACATCAGTGGAATTCCCACAGCCTTTTTAGGATCCCGTCAAGTATTATTTATTTATTTTAAATGAATATTCTCTCATGATTTAAAAAAAAGGCCTTTATTGAAAAATACCAGAAGCTCTTTCCTTTATTTTATTGCATTCAACGTGTCCTCTGCATTTCTGTACATAAATGTAAACTCTCCCTGTATGAAAGGCAATGCTATGGTATGTTAGTGGTGTATGTGGCCTCTAAATGTCCCCCAGTGGAGCGATACAGCCCCGCAGACGGCACCTGGTCGAAATGCGCCCACATGCTGAGTCCCAGGGAGGACGCCGGCTGCGCCGTGTACCTGGGACGCATCTACGTGGCCGGGGGCAAAGACGAGCTCAACCTGAAGCTCTGCGGCGCCGAGAGGTTCGACCCGGACGCCGCCAGGTGGACTCCTGTCAAACGCATGAGGAGCAAGAGGGACGACGTGAGTAGAGGATCGGTCGGGATGAAAGGCGCCCCCCCTCGAGATCTCCGGGGCGAGTTTATTTTCGTGAACGATGAGAAGAGGAAAGAAACGCGGAGAGAAGCGATGGGCCTGACTCAACCGAGGGAAATGAGTGGAGGTCAAAGGTGTCGTCACTATTTTTGAAAGCCACGAGCAACGTAACGGGTGAAACTTAGTTTTGCATTTGTTTGCTCATTACCGGAAACTAACAGTTTGGACCTGACTATTGGTGCTATTTGAAACATTAAGGGATCACCACAGCTATAACAGCTCAGTCTGACGGGGTCGCACACTAGACCAAATGGTGGATTGTACACTAAAACTATTGAATTTGTCAAATTAGATGATGGCGCAGGGTAATTGAGTTACTTGAGGAAACCACCTGGTCTACTGCTGCTCTGCAATATCGATAACACGTTCAATCTATTTCATTTAAATGAATCTGCGGGCGTAATCTTGTTTCTTTCCCTCGTGCTCACCGGTGTGCCTCCAGACGTCCCTCGTGGTGTTCAACGGTGCCCTGATGGCTGTGGGGGGCTCTGACGGTGTCACCACTCTGAAGACAATAGAGGCGTACTGTCATGAAACCAACGAGTGGAGGTAAGAGGGGAACCGACGCCGTGAGCTCCTTCGTCTGCTGCTCAGCGACATCACATGATTCAAATAACGGCCTGAGCTGTGAACCGTTTTTTGTTTCCATTCGCTGTTAATGTGGCTGCAGGAACAACGTGTGAAGGATGCAGTGATAACTAACCATAACTAAGTCACCGGTTACCGTGCATGTAGCATGTTTGGGTGTTTTGTATCTACTTGTTAAATGTTAAGCAAGATGGGTGTTTGTTTATTCATTTTATTTAAAAGGGAATAAAACTGAGGGAGTTTGATTTATACTCTCCGGTCCAAATGTGCTGGTTCACAGAAATCCTTTGGATGTCACACTTCTGACAAAAAGAAAAATTTAAATGATCGTACTTAGTGGGAAACTACACAAGATGCAGGGTGGTGCTGCAAAAAAGCAAAAAAATAAAGATTTTTACCAAAAAAGTGCTACAATGAATGAGGAGAAAAGCCTGAATAACCATTACTCGTGTTCCTCTTACATTTAAATCAAACGCTAAATGAATGCATACGATACAGATCACCGTCTAACCGGCCTTCAGCCGTCCAACATATTCCGAGCCGAGGACACAAAACAACTTTACATAAAGAGGGTCCGCTGCTTCCACCCAGACACAGAGAGTTCCTTTGTGATTCATGTGCCGGAGCTCATGTAAGCCTCCTATATCTAATATAGGCCTCCGGGCTGCTTACTGAATGTGAGTGCTTCGATGTCTGAGTCCGCTTTGCCTCTCTGTCTGTTTTTAGACACTTTGGAAGCATGAAGAGAAAGCACCCGGGCGGGAGAGTGGCTGCGCTGTGCCGAAACGACGCCGGTGTTATGTGAAGAGGAGAGAGGCATCGTGTATATATATGCGCCCGCTCCCTGGACACATTGTGATGTGGTTTGAATTAGGCAGGATAATGACTGAATAACTAAAGGGTTCACTTTCAAAATGAGACAGCAGCGGCTGTTCCAACGCGCCTCGCCGCATTAAATAAAAGCGCATTACAGGTTAGCAGGGTACCATCCAGGTCGTGGGTCGTTTTATGTCTTACGAAACGAAACTTTTTAGAGAGATGAATCAGCTGCAAATACATAAATAGGTTTTTATCATTTCCCCACCAATAAAACAGATATGTCACCTGTTTGGATTAGCCAATGGGATTCAGTACCAGCATGATAATAGCCAGACTAGCTGCGTTTTTTTAACAAATAGGGTTTATTCGGTACCCTAATATTAGAGGAAGAGATTGCAATGTTAAACATGACAAAGTGGCCGGTGGTTCACAACATAGTACACAAATAGTGGTGGTGATGCACTTACGTTTGAACAGGTATATGAGCCGAAGAGATGGAGGTAGACGTGGAAGTAATGCATGTTTTTTTGGTTACGAATGTGCAGGAGAAAACAGAGTAATCCATCTTTTGAGTGATGAGCATTTGCATGTATTATATCGTCCTGAAGGTGAGAAACGGAGCTGGCTGTTGGAGGTGGAGAAAGTGTACTGAATGTTTTCAAAATAATATAGTTCAATGATATAAAGATTTCTGATTAATAAAGTGTGTTTCTTTTTTTTAATGTTCAGATCCTTTCTAATTTGCACCCGGACATTATTGAAGATGTTCATCCGTGCAGATTGAATGTGTACATCAGCTTTTCTGTCAATACACGCGATGCTCCCCCGTTTTCAACATTTCAGCATTTAGCTCGTGTGAAACATTCAATAGACAAGGCAGCCACAGAATGCTTTGCAAATTAAAGAAGAAAAAAAAAAGAAAAGAAGTCGGTGGGAAACACGACCCTGAGTGAGAGAAGCGAGTGAGTGAGATGTGACTGCTGGCATGGGAAAGCAGCGTAAGTGTCTGTGTGGGCAACGATGACGCTCACTGCTCGTCTCCCCTGGAGAATAATGGGCTGAAATGTGGAGCGGCTGAGCACAAGGAAACGCACACAGACCAAGCGCGGCTTCATCGGAGACACACACAACACAAGCCAGCGGTGTCTCCATCCAGCCCCCGGGCGCGCACAGAATGAATATATTTTTCAATTTGAGGGGGATTGTGAGACACATAGCAGAGGACAGAGCACTTGCAGGTATGTTTTTACGGAGGAGAAATCGATGTGGATCAGATTGTGGATTTTCTAGAAGTTGCTTTGCAAGACTTTGCATGCACTGTGTATGGACTACCTCGTGTTTAATGTTGCACATCGGGATATATATTCTGAGAAAAAACGGATAAGTAACTCAAATGAATAAATGAAAAATAAATTCCAAGTCATTGTTTTTGGCAAATGTCTATGGGGCCAATTAAAAAGATGTACTTGTTATGACTGGGTGATATGTAACTGTTACTGCATTCACAAGTACATGCAGTTGCACTTTCACCCTCTTACCACCAGATGACTGAGTGATGTATAGTGTACTCTGGCATTTCACACTATTCTATTTCACATATAACAGAAGAAGCAGTCCTATTTACCTAGTTAAAAAAGACAGAGGCAAGTGGACTTTATTTAGCAAACGGGGAGGCGAATAAATGATGATGATGATGATGCAGCAAAACACCTCATATTCTTAGATTTTATTCACTCCACCAAACACCTCTTTTTATCGAGAGAAGTTTCCTCTCAGCAGAATCAAAGACATCAGCTGTCCTCAGCGCTCACTGCCAAGTTCCCCGGCGGGAGGCGAAGCACCAGTGGGGGGGCTCGAGCATCCTCCTGATGTCTTTGGAGGGGGGGGGGGGGGGGGGGGGGGGGGGGGTGCTGATGCTGACAGGGAAGCATGCAGGGAGTAGCGCTCATATGATGTCCTTATTCTAGACAATGTTACGCAACAGGAGACGCCGCGGAGAGGGACGGATTTTGCGCGCGAGCCGCGGAGAACGTTTCACGCGGGGATTCGGGAACTAACTAAATAAAGAAAGAAGGAGGCAAGTGGAAAACCCGGTTTACACTCGACGGCATAGGACTAAAAACACCCGTTCGCCCTGCTTCCGCCGAGCAATGCGAAGTTGCTCACCCGGAGGAAATAAAGGTGTTGCTAGGCGACATATCCGGTAGAGATGGGTATGGGGCGCGTTTTTTTTTTGGTTTTTTCCAAACGCCAAGTGCGCCATAATTACCCCGCGTGTCGAAAGGCGTGTCAGCCCGATGACGGGAACTACTTTCTCTCCCCGACGCATCAACTTTATAAAAACAGCGCGAGCGGCCTGCAGACCGCTAGCCCGTAAAGCCTCCGCTCCACCGGAGGGGAACCTTCCAGCCTCCAGCCTCCACCCCCCGGCTGGGGGACTCCCCCCCCCCCCCCCCCCACGCTCCACGTGCCTCCCCTTGAGCCGCAGCCGTTTTATTTTTATTTATTTTTATGGTAAAAGATGAGGAGGCTTCCGCAGCCCGGGCGCGCTGGCGGGGATCCCGCTCCGTCACACGGGCTCTGCCGCACGGCCGGCGCGGTGAGGGCGGCTAAACCAAGCGTGTGTTCGCGGTGACGGGAACCTCGCGCCGATACGGGACCGCAGCCAGGTAAAGTTCACAACAACAACAACAACAACAACAACAACGGAAGAAAGTTCCCCTTTGGGGAGCCCGACTTGCCCCTTTGTCAGTTCACTCACGGGTTAATGTGATTGCTTAATTATTGCGTGTCTATGCAATAACCTCATCGTAGAGTTGTTCTCATGCAACGTCTTATTGTCTTCATCACGAGGGTGTTTGTTTTACAACGCTGCTCAGCCAGATGCAGTTGCTTGTGACCTTACTATTTGTTCTCTAAAGTCTGGACTTTGCGGCAGATGTTTTTATTTCATCAGCAGTTTATAAAACAGTCATCACCATCTTCTGATGAACCAGAAGTATCCCTGTTTGTACAGGCAGGGAGAAGTTGTCACTAACAAACGTTTTTCTTTTCAAGTGGAACCCTCGTCCAAAGGAATTACTATAATCCCGTGTAACCATACAGAAAACTGACAGGACCCATTGTTTGGGAGATTGCATACGGGCCCTGCGTTGTAAATTCTGACAAAGAGCGATTTACCTCGGGCCTAACGCATTACATAACATTAGAAAAAGCCTGCTTTCTTTTTGTCTGAATCTACAGTATTCTCTAAGTGGACACCGGCTCTTACCGGGAGCAATTCTGTACCCAATTATTGTGGTCACTTTGCCTCTTCCGTTATGTCATCCCCCAGAGGTTGCACACTCTGTATGTCAATAGAGGATGCGGCTTAGTGGGCTGGCATTCATGGGCTCTTTTGTATTAAAAAAAAAAAGAGTAAATTTGATGTCCTCCTGTTCACCTCTCCTGTAGTGTAAAGGACACACGGAGGACAACGTGTTCTTTGCACTTCAGTGACCTCCTTCATTCTTCTGTTTTGCTCCCCAGCCCACCGATTCCTCCTCTCCTTCCTCCGTCTGAAGGGTTTGTGCGTTTTCCGGTAAATCGGGGAGAGTGTGTCTCCGGGTGCTTTTAGCCCTCTCAAAGCCGCCCACGCTGCACCGCGATGACCTCACGCGCGGCTCTGCATTACCCGCCTATTGTTCCCCCCTGAAGAGGGGACACACTGATGAATGGTGATCGGGGCCTTCTATGAAATAAGATGAACCCCGATCCATTCAAGTAGAAGTGAATGAATGAAGCACATCGTGTTCAGCCGGACAGAACCTGCATTGTTCTGGGGTAGAAACCTCGGTGTCCCATCGAGTAATTTTCCTCTCCCCGTGTTGCAGATAATTGGTTTAACATCCCTTTTGATATGGCAATCCCCCCCCCCCCCCAGAGTGTCTTATACACACGTGGATCATAGCTGATTAACCCTCTTGAAATGCCAGTTTGCACCCCGTGGAGGTGTGCGCTGTGAATAATCAAACGACGCCGTTGTTCCTCCGTAATGCCGCTCTGTTTGCAGAGCAGCACGTTCCACTCTGGTCCGAGAAGATGTAATGTTATTAAAACCCTCACCAAGTTAGTAAGAGGTGAGTTTTCTCTATTAAAACTCTCTCTTACCCTCCCTCTCTTTCTCTCTCTCTCTCGTTTGTCACTCAATTCCCCCCCGCCTCCCCCGCAAGAGGCGACCATGAGCCCTCCCCGCCGATCATCGAGCCCCCCCCGCCGATCCTCCGGCTCCCACGATGACAGGTAATTTCCTGGAGCTCTGAAGGCGCTGACAAACGGACACTTTTCCTGTTACGTACAAGTAGGTGGGCTGTGCTTTCCCACTCGTCTCTGCAGTAATCCATCCCTTAAGTGTCCACTCTGATAGGGGGGGGGGAAACAGACTTTTTTTTTCTTCTTTTTTTGTTTAATTCATGCACTTGTATATGTTAATTTTGTTTAATAATGCACGACACGCGTGGAAAAAGAGCAGTTTGGTCAAACGATCCGCCTCAGACTTTCATTCAGGACTTGATTTGACAATGCAATTCTGACAGAATTGTCAAACGACGAGTGTAATCCTGGTGATAAATGAGCGTGCATCGATTTAAAAGGAAAGATTAGCATCTCATATGAGGCTATGCGTCCTGCCCCATATGTTGTATATCAAAGTACTGCTTCTTGCAAAAAATACGGCAAGTTTTACCAAGTGACTCGCGCAGTTGTCATGTGAGGCCGACCTCCGGCGCTTTGGGGGGCTGAAATGTCAAGCTGGCATGTTGATGAGCAGATGCCGCCGTCCTTCTCGCCCCGTCCTTCAGGCCCCCCGCTGAGACCCCGCAGAGGAACAACAGCAGCAACTCCGGCGTCGTTCTGGACATCTCGGCTCTCAAGATGGCGGAGGTGGACACGGAGGTGCCCCCTCTCCCGCCCCGATATCGCTTCAGGGATTTGCTGCTGGGGGACCAGACCTTTCAGAATGATGACAGGTATGTAACTCAGTATGCGAGCGGCTGCTCGGGGACATTCATGGGGGGGGTGGCAGGCAGCTTTATTCACATGCTTTTATTATATTCAACACATTACAGGAGTCGCTATGTGCCGAATATTGTAGTTGCTTCGCTCCCATTCCCTCGAGCTGCCTCATGTGTTTCTACCTCGGTTACTGTTCTCCTCCATTTCCCAGAATGACCACCTATGACAACCCCCGGGGGAGGAGGCTAGTGCTCAGCTGTTGGGTTTTATGTGTAGGTGGATGGAGAAATGGAAACGTACGAAGGGCTTTTGTGGCGATAAACGGCTGCACCGCGTACGACCTGGAGTACTGCTTAGAAAGAAAAAAAACAATTCTGTCTGTGAATGTGACCTTTGGTCCTCGCATCATTTCTCACATGCTTTTCATAGAAAGAAATGCAGGAAACATACTCGTAGTTTTGTTATCGTCTGTCTTCTTTAAAAAATTCAGAGTGTTCCTATTTTGTTTCCTCTTCCTCTTGAGCTGACCATTTGGCAGCCCGTCCCCTTGGCGCCCGGGTCACTGGAGTGTTTGGGACTCTCCAAAGACTATTATCGCCGCTGTCGGGGGAGGAATCTGCAGCCTCGGCTGAGCGGAGCTCTCCGCGGTGCTGAAACAAAGCAAAGGCTCAGCGGCCGCTTCAATCTTCGAGCTGACACGAGATTCATTGCTTGAACTTTATCGCATCTCCGCATCCTCTCTGCTGTGTTTGTGGGATGATGTTCCTGCGGCGGAGCTTTTCACAATAAGCTGAACAAAAGATAGAACCGCGGTGGCCTCGCGTCTACTGAAAGGCTCTGTAGGACCTTTCTTGTCTCAGGGTCACGCTACTGAACAAACATCTTATGTCCCCGCCCCCCCCCCTCTTGCAACTGCACCGTTGATCATTTTATCGAAGGCCGGATCCGACAGACGGCTCGTTGTGCGCTTTATCTCGCCGCTGCAGGCCGTTGGATGTCCACAGCAGCAGCCATGTTTCAGCGATGAGTCGCTCCCCTTCCAGGGCTTTTTGTGTTCTACAATTAGCTTTCCGATGTGCATCTTGTTTGTGTTGGAGGGAAGGCAGCTATCGGCCTTTCCACCATGCTTCGCCGTTCTGTTCGCTCGCCCGCTGTCTCCACGGCTCCCCGCTGTAAATATCTGTCAGAACGTTTTTATATCAATGCTACATGCAACATGTAGAACAGGAGTCTGGTATTTGACCGATTCTCCCCCCCACACGTTGCCCTGCGTGCGTTCCCAAGGGAGGCAGCGATTTTTAGGCTTTAGAACCCTAATGGGTTTATTCTGTGGTTTTATCTGTCCTGTTGACATGACAAATGGTTGGAGGCCAAAGGAAAATAAGAGACTGAATCACAGTATAGATTACGCTGCACATTAATAACATGGAAATTCAGTCAACATGTGGGGACATTTATTATTTAGTTGCCCTGTAATGAAGCGGACTACTTGATATTGCGTGTGTGTTATCCAGTAGATCCTCCGTCAATTGTTTTTCTGATCGCTATCCAATTGCAAAGGGTGATTAGGGTTTGCTGCTGGGCTCCCAACACATGACTGTGTGTGTGTGTGTGTGTGTGTGTGTTTGCACGCTAGTTCTCACAGTCACAGAACTACAGTAATTCAGAGATGCTCTTATACGAGTAACCGCTGCAAACGGGTGATTTGTGGGATAAACATCTGCTCAATGTTGGTTCGGAAATGAAGGCGCGAAAGACGAAAAGCCGATTTATTGATGGTGTGTTGCAGAGTTAATTGCTGTTTTCTGAGCTCTAGAGTGCAAACGGAAGCCGGCGACGTCGCTGAGCTTTGCTCTATTTCTTGGTTGATGATCCTGTGATCCTGTGAACATCCCGCCGATGTTCTGCAGAGACTAGTTTCTAATTTACTTTTTCCACCCTGCCAGGAAGCTTTTTTTTTTTTTTAAGAAATACTCTCCCGACAGGTTGTGACACTTCAGTTAAAGGTTTTATAAAAATGCATATGAATAACATTATGATGCAGAATGGGCTGATATGCAACCGGGTTTACGCCTTTTACTCAACCACACAATTCAGCTGTGAAAGCTCCATCAATGCCTCAAAACTACAGCAGAATCTCCCTTTGTGCACATATGAAATACACGCAATCATTGACTGTTTCCCGGTGCTTTTTTAAGCTCCTTCTGTGCTGTTCCAGTTTGTGCCCTTGTGTTAATCTCTGTGTGTTTGTGATGTGAACGCGAGTTTTTTGGGGGGGGGCGGGGGGGGGGGTGGTCTCCCTCCTGGGCTGTCATTATCTCTAGGGTTGGGTGTAAGAGGACTGTAATTATGGCTTGGCTGTGTGGGCGGTTGGGTGCTGTAGAGGAGCAATCACGTCGAAGTCATGAAGGCTGACGGCCGCTGAGCGCTTTTATACGCCGACTCGGCCTGAAAACAGTCCCGTCTAATCAAAGCCGGCCGCTGATGGGAGCGGTTGACAGAGCGAGGACCGTTAATTGCTCCCTGAATCGACTCCAAACACCTGCTGGTGAGTCAAGCAGTGGCCCTCGGAACGGTGACCCGGCGCTGACGCACGTTCTGTTCTCGAGCGACAGCTCGTCCCAGACGGCGTCCGCTCGCCCGCGCCGCCGCCAAAATGTTTCATCTCCGATATGACAGCTTTACAGCTGCCATTTAGGAGTCTTTGTACTTAGCTCAGGAATCGTGTCCAGGTTCCCTTTTTAGATCGATCTGGTACATTTCATGAACCAAAGGTATGGATCATCCACAGGTTTACACCAAACTACACATTTATGTTTTTTGTTACGATGGGTTTCTTTTTTTTATTGCTTTTTTTTCCTTTTTCTGTCCAGGCACATTTGAAATGAATCAAACTCCACGTGGACAAAACACATACTGATACGTACGTACAGCAGCTGTTTGTTTGCCACGATTCCGGGGCAGAAGCGACCGCTGGGATTTGATGTCTGGATGATTTCCACCTGACTTCAGGACAGTGTTGATTAGAACAAGGACACGGAGGCAGAGGAGGAGTAGAAGGACCATAAAGTCTGAGTGAAGCAGATTCAGCAGTGATACGAAGATGAGGGGGATGATTAGGTCCACTAGGTGACGGAGGACTTGCTCGCTGGCTCTGTTTATACTCCAGGCTCTATTTCTCAATGCCAAATTCATATGCATTCTGCACAGAGGATTTGTAGCATACAGTAGTTTTAATAATAGTACCACAAGCAGTTATTAAATATTTGTATTGTATACAAACAGTGTAGTCCCATGAAACTGTGGAACAATTGAGCTGCTGTTGCTTCATACATAATATAGTGATTTCTCCTCTTTTTTTGGGGGATTAGCTATATGTTTCAACATTTCTAAGCAGTAGAATAAAACGTCCAGTGTTTTGCACACATCTCCTCGGCCTTGTTCATCATGACGCATGTGAATTCCAGTTTCTACTCAATGAAGCACCTCCCACTGAGCTTTCTCTTAAATGTTTTGTCCCGCAGTCTCAACGTACTTGGAATCCGGAGTGTTGTCACTGCTGACAGGCACGCAACCCGAGTTTACAATTAAGACCATAGGTGGCATTAGTCACCACCATTAGCACAGAGTGTGTGGGCGACACCGCTAGACTCGTTCTCTCCGGCAGCGGCTGTTTGTCTGCGGCTGTCGGTGGTGGTTGTTGTTGTTGTTGTTGTTGCTGCTATTGCGGGGGAGCAGAGTACTCAAACATCTTGTCCACATTCTATTATATTTCCCCTCATTGTAAGGGAGTAGGTTCCTCTCAGGATCCGTTCCGCCAGTGAGGAGGCATTCTTCAAAAGGCTCAATTTGGACGTTTTCCGCTGGGATTTAGTTCCCCTTAACACAGTGGAGGTATTAGCGAAAGCAGCGCGGCGTGCTTGAGCCGAGAGGAATCGGCTTGTGGCTCTCCCAAAGCGTTTCATTGGTGTTCATATGAAGCCCCATTACAACAGGATCAACGCTGTCAGGTGAAAGTGGTTTCCAGGCAGCCGCCCCCTCCTCCCCCCCTCCCACTTCGCCGCCGCCCCAAGGCCACATCCCGTGTGTGTAAATGTTCAAATTGATCAAGTTACAATGTTTACCGTCGTACGTTCTTTAAAAAAAAAAAGTGGTTGCTGGATGATTTCTCATCGTCGTTGCCAATGGCAACCTAGCTACTGTTACAGTTGAGCCCGGTTACACTGGCTGAGCACACTCTATATTAAAAGTGGAAGTACTCACTGTGGTTTGGTGGAATGCAACCCAACGGCGAATAACCCATTTTTCACATGTACAAAATGAGAGCGAGCGCTCTGGTGGCAACCCGTCAATCACAAGGTGACCCCGCCCTACAGCGCACCCTTTAAACTAGCGGTTTAGACCTTAATCCTGTGTTAATGTTTACTGAGGTAATTAATCCGGTGAGGGGGGGGGCGTTTTATAATCGGGAGTTCTCTTCAGACTTTTTCTTGCAACCGGTGAAACGGGCCCCTGAAGGGCACTGCTCACAATCGGCTTCTCTTTGAAGAAGCGGCCGTCTCAGAAGAAAAGCTAAAAATGGGGAGGACTATAAAAGGTGGGCTACAAAGAGAGATTTATCAAACGGGTGGCCAAAGAGGTATAATTGTTTCTCTTATGGGCCTCTGCGTCTTCATGCGGGGGGAAATCTCCGGTGCAGTTTGCTTTTTTTTTTCCCCCCACACTTTGTCTTGCCAAGTTAATTTGCATCGCAGGATTTGGCTTGTCATATTTTAATGGGAAAGCTGTGCTGATGGAGGCATTTGGATAAGGTTGTCTCGCACTGTAGATGAAGGAGGGGGGGGGGGGGGTAGAGGGGGCGCTGATTGTTGAGAGCTCCAGCGTCACTTACGGGATTATTCAGAAGTAACAGAAATCTAATTTTCTTCCACTAATTCTAAGTGATTCAATCAAATGTGCAAAGACTGAATAATGTAGCTCAGTTGAAGTGTAAAAACAGTTTTTATCTGATTAT